AAAATGAAAAAAGCTTTCAAAAAAAAAAAAAAAAAAAGAGTATGGTAGTATTTAATTTGGTCTATATCGGGAATTGATTGGATCGTTGTCATTTGTAACCTTCAATGACGTGCACTGATAAATCATTTATAAAAAAAAACACTGCAATATTCCATAAAAAAAAATGTCTTTTGATTTCATGGTGACTTTAAAAAGGATGCATTTATAATTATTATTTATCAGAATGGTGTAGTTAATGGTATGGACAATAACCAATAAATTACCAGAGATTAAAAATCTTTTTTTGTCTTAAAGTACAACACTAAAACTAAGAACAATATAAATGATAAACCATATAAATGTGCAGTATAAAAATGTACAGTATGAAAAATGTCAGGTTTTTTTTTAAATGACATTTAATGCCCATTACACGTAACAGTTTTATTTATCACTAGTAGCTTTAATGATTAACTTACATGACAGCATCTAGAGGGATTTATAACAGGAATAAACTCCTGAAGCAACCTCAGAACAATGACATACAGATCGCCTCTTGTCGAGTTCAAAACTACATCCTTTGGTTACCAGCACAGGCCAGTCAGTCATAAGACATAATTCCTTTTTGTATTGTTTTACTTCAAAAACAAAGTAAATGCAAATGAAAAAGATTCTTGAGAGCTGTGGAAGAGGGGAACTTTGAATTAATTTCAGTCAGTTCCTCAAACAAAACTGTAGCTTTAAAAAAAAAAAAAACATGGAACATGCAGCATGAGTCATATGGACTATTTAAATAATTTCACGTACATTGTGTGGAAAAAAGCTAAATATCTCTATTTGTGTTCCACGGAAGAAAGAAAGTCATACAGGTTTGGAAGGACCTGAGAGTGAGTAAATTATGACAATTTTCCTTCAACCACTAGACCAAAATCCCCCACATAGTACAAGAATCACTCAGAAAAGGTTGTGCTGTTAGCATACTAAAATCAAGAGTTGTGATTCACAATACATTACACACACATGCAACTTCCTCGGTCATCAGAACCACACCACACACAGAACTCTAACACCACCACAGGAACCTTCCACATAGACCTCCGGTAACTATGGTAACCTCCTCTCTGAGTGATGTCACCCTGACATTGCATCATAACCCCATGAGCTAATTGGGTCGCTTTTCTCAAGACTCATGAAGCACGTGGGAGAAACTGAATAAAACAGGCAGAGTCGGAGATGGGAGCTGTGATGGTGGAGAAGACTGAAACTGACTGACTGAGAGGAGAATCCACAGATGCTATTAATAGCCATTCAGCCTCTTCAGTCACCAGAAAAAAAGCCATATGTGCGCAAAGCAACACACACACACACTGCTTATGGATGAGAGAGCCAGATGGAGGCATCAGACTGATGAGAGATTGAGAGAGAGGGGTACAGAACCGACCATGTCTCCCCAGAGCAAAGTCCAACTCATTTCCGTAAATTGCTTCTTTCGAACGTTTGCTTCAGAAAGAAAAAAAAAAAATGACTGAGCAGTTCTTTTATATCATCACATGATTCCTGACATCCCCACTCTACAATATTCCTATAAAGTCCTATGAAACATATTTTGTTTGTTAATTAGTTTTTCAATAAAGTTATATTAAGGCAGTTTATTCTAATTTTATGTTATTCTAATGTAATTTTATCAGTTTATAAAAACAAAGCCGTTAACAGCCTAAATCTTATTTGCATTTACAATAAACAAAAACTAAAATTCATTTCTTGATTAAAAAGTATTTTAAAATGCTGTTAAAACCAACATTACTTTGTATAAGCATTGATAAACGGTCTTATAGTCAGGTTGTTAACATTTCAAGTATGTTTTATTTGTAATAATTTCATACTATTTGCTAACTTACTATTCACCCAATCATTCAAACACTCCAAATGTTCTTAGCATTATGAATCATATCTGTGCAAACAGGGCCATATCATGCGAGATTCCCTGTATGACACCAAGAGGTGTCTCGTAACTCACAACAGGTCTGCTTTTAAATGTTTATATTTGATAAAAATCAATTTGTTTATGGAGAAAAGGAATGGGATCTTTACTTGTGGAACCCGACTGTTGCACAAGTTCTTTCAGTCAACAGAATCGCTCTGGGGTCCAATAGGATTCTGTTATGGGTTACAACTACAATGCTGTCAACCAGATTAGTAAAGTCTCAGTGGATGCATACTTCAGATTCTCACCATAAGTTTTATGAATACTCTTTTCATATACTATATAGTAGAAAAGTACAATTTCTAACTCAGCCATTGTCAGTTCATTGAGTAAGTGAGTTGAGCCGAGAAGCCGCTCGGACCGATTCACTCTAATTCCTGAACGAATCGATCGGGGGAGCGTTTCCCAAAAGCATCGTCACCCAACTATGATCGCTGAACTGTGTTGGTAACGACGGAACTTGCGACCACTGCTTTTAGAAAACGCATCTAGGTGGTTCTGTGATCCAGTTCAACCGATTCACTGAAAAGATCCGACTCAAATGAATGATTCATTTACGAATCAGACGTCGCTAAATCACGCACAGCTCCCTCTAGACGTAAACATGTCTGCCATTCAAACACACCGCCATACATTGAATGCGCGCTAATGAAAATACTGCATATGAAAGCACAGTAACAGGACACACACAGCTGCGCCACGGCAGAGACAGAGAGCGCATTGTCTGCCCGCAGGACAGTGGACACACACACACACACGTGTGCAGGCATGCCAACCCAGGTGTCTTTTGTTTTCATTACTTCCAGTCCGGTAGTACTAGGTACAAATACGGGGATAAATCAATAAATGTCCTTGAAATGCGACAGAAACGTCATATCTACCAACCATTGATCTCACTTATTTCTGTGTACCATTGCTGTGTCTCAAAACCTAGTAAACTGTCTACTTAGAATTTTGGGCATTATAGGCGCCCAAAAATGTTGCATTCGTTTTGGACGCTTAAGATGCCCAAAAATGCTGTATAGATTGGCAGCACACCACCATGCAGCCCAGAACCACTGTTCACAGATTAGATCAAACTGATCGTGCAAAAAAGAAGAACCAGTCAGGAACAAAAACAGGAATCGACTCACCAAAGACCAGCAACAAAGAAAAGCAATCGGGTTGCGTGTAACAATTAACACAAGCACTCCCCGAGTTAGCGCAAAAATGTATAAATATGACAGGGAAACACTCACTTGTCAGAAGTGACCCGCTCGGTCCACTGGCGGCGGCTCACATACACACTGACGGACGGCAAGAAGCGCTGCTGCTGCTGCTGCTGTAGTGATGGGGACCGCTGGCTTACAGCCCGCACTCCTGATTTGCTCGAAGAACTGCAGCCATTTTGCATGCCTAGACGTAGGAGGGGAGGAACTATTCAAATTATCTTCTTCTTCTTCTTCTTCTTCTTCTTCTAATAACGTTTTATGGCGGATGGCAAACCAACTTCTGGTGCATTTATTCAAATTATCCTAAACATTTTCCACTTATCACCCCCAGTTGCATGTCTTGAAAATGAGCTTCCCAATATTCTCAATTGCTTAAGCCAAGAAATATGAATTTTTATATCAATAATATTTTATGCAACTCCTTGTGCACGTTATCCCTATGCATTTTTCATCAATTTTCAATCATTTATAATTTTTTGTGTGTATTTATAATGATATAGTTATTATATTATATATAGCGTATAGCAAACTAATAAACATATAATTTATCAACTATTCCGTTCAAAAGTCTGGGGTCGATAAGATTTAAAACATTTATCAGAAATATAGTAAAAAATGTTGGCAAAACTGAATTTTCAACAATCATTACTCGATTTATTTGATTTTTGTATGTAACAGTGTATAAGACTTTACTGCCACTTTTGATAAACTTAATGCATCCTTGTTGAATAAAAGTATTAATTTATTTTAAAAAATCTTACTCTCCCCAAACTTTTGAACGGAATTATATATTATTTAAATTATATACATCACTGTTTTTTTTTCTGTGTATATATTGCTCTATGGTAAACGTCAACAAAATGTGTTTTCAGTGGGAATATAGGGGATAATATATTTAGGTTGTGTGGTTTTACTGTATCACTGACACTTAGATGCAACAGCCTAAATGCTGCTTTGAACGGGGGAATTAATTTATTACATGCACAAGTTCATAAAGCTAAAATTTAATCAAGTCTCCCCTTCCCCCCATAAATATCCCACGTGACAGAAAGGATAAAAAGGATAAAATAAAAAGGAGGCCTTAAAATGTTCAATCAATTTTATTGAGCTTATCACGTTTGATGCCCTTGGCTTGGTCTCCCAGTCAGTTAACTAGCTATTGGGAGCAATGGCGCCCTCTGGCGGATCCTTCAGTATGCTTCGCATGTCTCCTTCATCCTTGGAAAAAAGTCTGTCACTGACATGCAAAGTTGTCATCCGTGGTCCTTTAATGCTTTTCTTTGAAAACATTGACCTCATCATAAAGTCATTATCTATACTAAATGTATAAGACCGTTAAATACTTAATGCAGAATGCTGGAAGAAGCGTTTTTGAACTGCAGGTGGTTTGTTTGGCTCACAGGCTTATTAATTAAAAACAATAAACATACATACAAACACTCAAACATACACATATATCATTCCATAAAGTTGGTTCGTATTTTCTCTTTTTAGACCCTGCAAACTGAGACAAGAACCGAGTATGAATTCTACTGCAAAAAAGCAATTAATCACAGTTAAACCAGCCATTAAATTAATAAGTCCTTCAGATGATTAATCAGCACTGATGATTTAAGCCTGCGCTTCGATAATCAGGGAATCCATTTGTTAGAATGAAGACAAAAACAGAAGTGATTGTGTACCCTAGGCATGTAGAGAAAGAGACAAGTGGTAATGTGTGGGTGAGATCTGCAATAACTTTTCAGCTTTCAGTTGAAGAAAACAGGAAAGATGTGAATCGGAAAAAAGCCCCTGAGAACTGGCCATAGAAAATGAGTTCTTCAAGTCAAGAGTTCTTAATCCCGCCTGTCTGATATATTGTCCCTATTTGACAGAACTGATTTTTCAGTTTGTGCTATGGCTGGGACATATTAATGGAGTCCGAGATGGAGGGAAATGTCAAAGCTCATCCTTCTCCATCTGCTTAAATGCTTCCAAGTCCTCCTGCCAATCAGCCACCAGCGAGTCATCCGATTGGCTGCTGTAGTCTCCGTCCACCGCAGGCTCCTCCCCTACGTCCACGGGGTCGTAACTGCCAAGTCCCTCCGCTGGCTGAACCGACTCTTGTCCCACGACCGAGTCGTCTGTTGTCTGTTCCTGAGTAGTGACTTGAGATTGGTCGACAGGTTCTGAAGACGCAGGAGAAGTGTGGTCTTTCTCCTCTGTGGAGCAGTCCTCCTCTTCTGCTCCATCCATACCTTGAAAAAGAGGTCAGTTGAATGAACCACAGGAATCTACTTAAAATCAATCATATTTCACTGACAGTAGATCATATTAGGTGTGGAGCATGATGGAATTTTTTCATCAAAATCTGATTTTGTCATCTAGATTCTAGAACATGCAGTTTTGCCTGACAACAAATTACACGCACTCACACCCCAAACGTTCTAAAGTAGTTACATGCTACAAACAAATGTGTTTTTTAAATAAACATAACTGCTTCGAAATTTGTGTTTTCAGTATGGATGTGTGTAATTTACATTGCAGAGCAAAACGTCTAAATATTGTCAATTTTTATTTACCACAGACCTTGTTTTATTCATTAACTGAAAAAGCCCATTGAAAAAAAACCCATTTCAAATGAGTCCATTTAGTTTTGAGCACTCTATTAGAGTTGGGAAGTCATAATTACAATCAGGTGCCTTCAAGTCATTTTAGTCAGAGCAAGATTTTTTAACTCCTCTTCTACAAAATGATGACTAATGAATGTGCATCATGTTTTTTTTTTTTTGTTGCTTTTTTATATTTTTCTTCTTTATGAAGGTGCTGTAAATTGAATGGTAACGTATTCTATTGTACTGTACACAACTATCGTTTTTTTTGTACATGCACTATTTATAACTGGTATTGCATTATGCATTTTCAGTGATATGCTCACCCGCAGTCAGCCAAGACGCATTACCGTTTAAACATGGTTTTTACGCGTTTTAAATGCATCTTCTGTGACCACTTGTGTTCGGATTTTGTCCAGACCCTCCCCTCTTATTTCATCACACTCTTATTTTGTGGGAGTGCTGAGTATGGCACACAAATACGACTGAATGAATGAAGTATTATGCTGCTCACAAGCGAGTGGGAAAGGAGCCAAATAGTAACGGCAATTCCAATCATAATCCACGCATTTTGGCACAACTCAGCAAAGTTGGAATGAATTGTTTTGGTGCACTTTCTCAAAACACATCCAATAGTGCTCACATGCAGTGGTGGAAAGAGTACTGAAAAAATATACTCAAGTAAAAGTATCATTACCTTCCAAAAAATGTAGTGTGAGTAGAGTAAAAGTACTTGTCCAAAACACTACTTGAGTAAGAGTAAAAGAGTAGCCTATTTAAAAGTACTCATGAGTATTGAGTAGTGAGTGCTGAGCTGTGGATTCTACCCCCTCATAATAAACGCTGTACACCGCAATTGATACCTTTTAAAAACGTTGTACATTCTGTAATTCACATTATCTTATTTGTCATAAAAAATGAAGAGTATCTATCATCCAGCAGTATTAATTTTGACTGCCAGCTCTTTAAAATACATCAAAACAGTATTTGTAATTCGTTACTTCACACCCCTGCTCACATGTTAGATCAGTGGGCAGAAAGTAGGTAGTCTTTTGTGGCAAATTAGTTTTTTCAACTACCTCTGGGAAGTGGTCAAAAGTGGACAAGTTCAAAACGTTTTAGACTTCATTTACACCTGTATTTAACATTTTTCACTTGAGATTGGATTGACAAAAATGCATCTTAATGCCAGATGTAAACAGGGCCTTAGCTAGTTTTATTGAACATGAAAAGATTAATAATTTAGTTAATTTCAACAAATTTACCACCAATACAGACGCTGCATTCATGTTCTTGCCATATTTTTTCACTGACATGCCTCCAACTCAGAAACTCAGGGCCTAAAGAAAGTTCTGAATTTCCTACTTGGTGGTGGCATTCATTTGCATTCAACTAGTAAATACGATCTTTGCAACATGACTTTAAAGCATCATTAAAAACAAGTGGGTTCGATGCATGAAGGGAAACCCATAGAGGAGGGGTACTTACTGCCATCCAACAGGGTGCCCGGGAGGGCTTTCCCCTTAAATATGGATTCTGCTCATCCAAGTAGGAAAGAAGGGAAAAAGTAGTGGAAAGGGAAAAAAGTTATAAACACAGAGGGAAAGAGTAATAAAGAATAATTAGAAAGAAATGAAAGTAGATGATGCAACGGGTACCACCTTCCTCAAATATTAACATCTTTTCATATTCATGTCTTGGCTCTGTCTCAGAAAGCATCTCACCTCTGTCTCTAGCTTTATCGCTGAGCAGCACCTCCACCTCCCTGTACTCCTTTAGAGCCTCCAACAGGATGTTGCCCTCTTTGTGGAACAGGAAGAGGAGTGGTAAAGTGACATCATCAGTGTTCCGCCCATCTCCCGCCATCTGGAACAATGGGGCTGTATCACTGCTGCTGCCTTCATTGTCATCTAAACAGAAGTGACAAAAAAGAGAGAGAGATTAATACCAAGACTGATTTATTCGGTACAAAACAGTGTTGATATTGTTAACTAAAACTATTTAAAATTATTTTCGGTAATTAATTTTTTTTTAAATAAATTAAAAAGGGAATTTTTGATGAAATATGTTGTCTTGGCAATTAAGTAAAATAAAATAAGTTGAAGTTAAAGTACTAAAGTAAGAATACATTAAAGTTAAAATGAAATAAAAAAAAAACTAATAAAAATTACATAACAATATTACTAAAACTGAAAAAAAAAAAAAGCTAATTCAAAACAATAAATATTTCAATAGAATATAAATAACACTACAATAGCACTGGTACAAAGGCAATACCAAATATTATAATAAATAATTTTAAGCGGCCAAGGTATAGGCCATTAACTAGATCAGGGGTTTCTAAACAGGGGTCTAGGCCCCCTAGACCCCAGGGGCCCGCAAGAGGGTTTTAGGTGGGGCAGTGGAAAATAAGAGAGAAAAAAAAAATACTACAGAGCTGATTTTGAGGCTGTCAACGTAACTGTAAAACTGCTTTAGAAAAACATTTAGCATGAAAAGTGTTATATCAAGGAATCTGAATTTAACAGTTTCACATGTAACATTAATGGAGGAAAAATACACTGTCAACTTAATAAAACCTAA